ATACTACTAAAACATCCTAGATTACTAACCTTAAAGACAAAACATTTAATAAACTCCAAGCTTACTGTTCTGTTCTTGCTTACATGGATAACATCCTATGGATTGCATCTTCACAAACTGAACTATCCAATATTATCTCTGTTGCAGAATCCTTCTATAAGATGGCTAATATTCAAGTCAATCCCTCCAAATCTTTACTTATAATTAACAATCCTCCTTCAACATATCAATCTATTTACTTTAACAACCATACTCTTTCTTTATACTCACATCATGAACTCTTTAAGTTTCTTGGCTGTTGAGTCATACTTGATAACAAACGCCACAAACAAACACAACTAATTATTAATGAATCTTTTTATCTAATACAAATTGCAGACCTTAAATGCATCACAGATATACATGCTTATTATATCATCAACACTGTCATTATATCTACAATTGAATACCATCTTCAGAACCTAGTTCTTAGTCAGAATACTTGCAAGAAAATACTTACACATCATATTGGGCTTGTTAAGCGCAAAGCTAAGCTTAGCTATACTATTCCTACTACTATACTTCTACATCCACAATTATATAATATTCGTAATATTTGGGATATTCAACTTCAATATCACATTTCAAACTATATTAAACATTTTAACAACATGGATCTTCTAGGATGTAGTTTCTGTATTTGTTTTTAACAACTTCAAAACAACTTATAGTCTCTAACAAATATACTATTATATCCTAATCCTATACAGTCAAACCTGTCTAAATGAATATGGTCGGTGGACCAATATTGTATTCATTTAGACAGAATATTCATTTACAAAAAATTAAATTATATAAAAATCTTAATAAAATTATTATATTTTATAATTTAACCAATCAAATTATAAAATTTCATGTAACAATGATGCATATAAAGTTTAGAATATTCAGATAGCATAATTTTTAGAGTTCCTATCCAATATCTGTTTATCCATTTATCTATTGGATATCCAGATCTGAAGTTATTCGGATATCCGTTTTACTATTGATATCCGAAATAATTATCCTAATATTTGTCAGATTATCTGGATATCAATAGTAAATGGATATCCGGATAAATTCAGATATAGATAAATGGATGACGGATTATCCGGATTGAAACTCTAATAATTTTTATAAAATTTTTACTAATAAAATTGAAAAATTTTTATGCATTATTCAATTAAACAGTTTATACAATTAGCCTTAGTAACCAACTTGGTTTTGAGATTTTGTATTCATTTATACAAGATATTCATTTATATAGTATTCATTTAGACAGGTTTGACTGTAATTGATAGACCTAATAAGCAAACTACAAGGTTTAAAATTATTCAACTATTTAAACACCTTGAACTTTCTATTGCTTCTAATATTTCATAGCAGATCTCATATACTATCTCTACTAACTCTGTATCTTTAGAATCTATATTATTTACACATTTACAATATTCTAATTTTAAAAAATAATTTTGTTATCATTATATTTTATACTTAGATCAACTTACCTCTTTTGATAATTCTTACCTTCTTAGTTGACAGCATATCTCACCAAGAATTCACAAAATTCCTAAAAGAAAACAACTATTATAGTTTACTACCCTTGAAAATAATGTTATTAGTCATTATTCATCCAAAACTTTGTATAATCACATTCAACTCCCTGATATAAACTACTATTGCTATACTATTGGATATTTTTCATCATGCTCTAAACCCTGACTTATTACAACACTTAATAATTAAATTATTATTGGTAAAGCACACAGGCAGCCTACCCCTTCTGGACATATTCTTATTATACACTGGTAATGTTCTATTGAATCTCAATTTACTTGCTTATATCCAACACCATCTATTACTATCTACTGATATTCAAACTGCCTTCTAAACTCTAATCTTATTGCCAATAGATGTACTATTCTTATTCCTATTAATCTTGCTACTAAGTTCTTTAGCAAAGTCAATTCTATAACCAAATCTGTTAACTTGAATGCTAATCATCTTGATTTAATATACTCTATTGCCTGTCGGCATCTATTTCAAATCTCACCTGCTCCTAATATTTCTATTGCTACAATACAAATACTAAATATTTTCGAAACAAATATTTTAACTAATACTCTTCAGACAATTGCTAATTACAATCACAACTACTCTGAGCTTTTTTTCTATACAGATGGTTTAGTTATAGAACTTGAAATACTTTAATGCTTTATGGGGATTGAATAGATACAAATCCAAAACAACAACATTGTATACTCTTTTCAGACACAAATTAAGCTCTGGTCATGCTCTTTTAAGGCTAAGCTTATTGCTATTATATTTGCATTCATTACAGCACCTAAAAACTGCACAGTCTATATTTACACAGATTCACAATTTGTAATTTCTAAATATAATAACATCAACTAGACTTCATTTATTTTATCTTTTATTCGAACACTATATCACTTACTATAATATACTTTAATTAATTTTATCAACTCATATAACTTACAAGTTGTCTTTCACAAGGTTAATGCTCATCAAGATGACGAATTTAATAATCGAACTAACCAACTAGCCTGAAGCCATTTTAACACACCTTATTTAATATTTAAACTATACAATATATATAACTCAAACTATACTCTTCTTTTTGATAATTTTTCAGTAGAGTTACCAATTAGATGATTTATTTGAACAATTTGCTATGCTCTTATCTATGCTCTTTGGTCATCACAAAACTGATTCCAGCAATAGTCCCAAATCTCTAATTAGATTTACTGGTATGCTACGTGACTATATATTAATAATAACTAAAAGATATCTAACTATTCTCATAGCTTCCAGGCATTTACTTTGAAATCATTTCATATTAAAATCTTACTTGATGATTTGTCTACTCTAGACATCCTACATAAATGTAACTCTGTATACCCACCAGTATGCCATCAATGCAATCAAGCTTGTACTACACTTCACTGGATCACATGCCCAACACCTCAACCTCTCCAAGATTTGATTAGTAATTCACTTCAATCAACAATAAACCTATCTAACCTTGATTCTTTAACCAAATCTATTGCTAATATACATTAACAAATCCTAAATCTTCAATATATACAAATCCACAACTCACCAAATATACCATCTCTTTTATTAACAATTTCTAATCTTGTTCCTATTGAAATCATATCTGTTTTTACTGATCTTACCCTATCTAAAAAAACTGCAATATTGCTTGTAATCAAATTTCTTCTATATCTTAACAAACAAATCTATAACTCTATTTGAATTCCATACTATATCTCTAGATCCCAAGCTAATATTTCTATTAATCAATTGTCTTCTGTATCTACTTTATCACATCAACCCCGACCATCACTTTACTCAATTGCTAATCCTAAATTAAAATTATGGTATCCAAAATGGATCAAATACCAATTTGACTTTCATAACTTACTTTTAAATTCCCAAATCTAGATAAGCCATAGCCACTCTGGTAGGTTTAGGCCACAGATAATTATGTTATTATATATTGTAACATTGTATCTAAGTCTCTAGTCTTAGTATCCTCTGGATATGAAGTTCAAATGTAATTTCTTTCTTGTATGTATTTCTTGTAAAGAAACTCAATTAAATTTTAATAAAGTTAGAAACATGGCCTCACCTTTTAAAATTTTTAAAAAAAAAAAGAATTTAAAAGATATATATAATAATTAACAATTAACAATTAACAATTAATAATTAACAATTAACAATTAACATTTAACACTTATTTAATGATTATTATAACAATTAACACTTAATGCTTAACAATTAGCAATTACAATTAATGTTTAGCACTAAATAAATTATGCTTAGCTGCAATAATTAACAATTAGCTTTAAAAATATAAAAAAGCTGTACAGTAAATTTCTTCAAATAAACATTAAACCTGTTTACTGTCCAAATAAATATAGACTTTCCTTTTCTTTTAAATTCTCTCTAAGTAATATCATAAGATTCTTTAAAGATAGAACCTAAAAATAACTTATCTTATATCTCTTAATAAATATACATTTTATCTATAAACTATTGTCTACCCAAACTGCCGCAAAGAAAAGGATATAGTTTTTAATTGAAGTAGAAATTATACTTATCTCTTGGACACTGCTATAAACCTGTGAAGGATCCCTATAGCCATGTCATTGTTATAATAATGCTGTTAAGAAGGCCACGGTACTGTAACGATACTATACTGTAGCATTCATTCGGTAATGTTATTATATTTGAAAATTGATCAAACGCTTTATAACAGATAACAAACAACCATTTTACGAAAATATTTATTTACTAAACATGACATCCAAAGCGATATAATTATAGTGAGTGCAAGTGTGATTATTTTATCGTGTTAGGATATGGTAGGTTACGGGAATCTTTTGTTGGTTACGGTTTACAGGAAACTAGCCAATAAAATTGTAGAATTTTGATCACGTGAAATCTATATGTGTATATATTATTTTTAATATCAATGTTAAGTTAAACAGAAAATTAAATTGGTCTGGCCTAATTAAATTTAAACCTTATTATTTTTTTGTACAAATTAACATATAAAATTTGGGTATACGTATTAACTCATTTGACCATAAGTACAGCAACCATTGAAATATGTTTTACACTGTTAAAATCATTAATATATTATAAAGGGGTTTATCAAACCAATTAAATTAATAATTACCATCTTCTTGTACCATAATAATGAATATCTATCCAACCTCAATCCCGATCTCTATTTATAAAATCCGTTCCTGATTGATATTAAATGCGCATATGTTGTGTTTATTAACATTAATTTAACAAATTTAATTGGTTTGAGTTTGACACCATGGATTGAAAGTGGGATATATTTTGGCTTTAGTTGAAACCAAATAAAGTAGAAATTCCGGTTCTCAAACTCAAACTACGTAGGAACAACATAATTAAAAAAAAAAAAAAAGATTTGGACCGTAACCTTAATCTAATCCGTTCAAAAAACCTCTGCTATAATCTTCAGCTCCCATTGCTTGAAAGACCGCAAGTTCGGATGATTCTATGTCCCTAGTAGGGTCTCTTTCGGGTGACAAGAAGTCAGACGGCTGTTCTTCAGTAAGAGGTTGTGTTAACAGTATTAGTCTACCATCAGTATCAGAATATGCACCATCATCCTCAATTTCTTCTTCAACATCATCATCGCCTTCATCAAAATCTTCAAGTTCGTCATCAGATCTTCTAGTCTTTCTGCAATTAGTGATTCTCCTCTCCTTCCCGCTGAATCGGACATGTAAATGGGA